TGGAACGTAAAAGGGCTCGTGTTCTGCATGACGTTATGAATGTTCAGAAAGTTCAGAAAGTACAGAGACTCAACCACATCGCCAATCACCCCGGCGAATGAACTCAGCTAATTATCATATAATTCTCGAAAATATAAATTAGATTATTAGTTGATGAGAATTAAAATAAAATAATGATTAGGTAATCTCTTCTGATATTACTTTTCACTCCAAAAAATATTCTATTTGTAAAGTAATTTTTCTCATAGTCTCATATTCTAAGCGAAGCTTTTTAGGAAAAGGATTCTTCTTTCGATAAAGCGATTAAAATGAACCATTCATTTAAAATTTATTAGATATTATTCCAATTGTTTTCCTCTTATTTTAAGGGATTTCCTTTTATATCAATTAATTTTCCTCTTATATGAAGAGGAATATGTCGATTTGAATGTCCGCTTATTTTGTTCAGTCATGCTCTACTTTCAGACATGAACAAAAAAATAACCATATGCTTATAAGTCAGAACATTTAAAACGCTTTTTAAAAAAAGGTATGTGTGTTGCTGTAACATATAACAAAGATAATTTACCCATATTTGATCAAATACAGTTTATAATCTATTGCAAGAAGTTGAATAATATATTCTTTCTTTTAACTATGTTTCATACAATTAGATATGATGAACATCTTTGTAGCTATGAAGTTGTTACGTCCTGCAGATTTAATTAACAAAATTGTCTTTTCCTCTCGCGGATTTATATTCTCCTAATATAACTATAATAGGAATATATACATATATAAATATAAATTAGGAAACAGACCCATCTGGCGAACAGCCGTCGCGCCAAATGAAAGACGATTCGGGAAAATTCCATAACAGGAAATAGTGCCCTGTTGTAAAAATCTACGTCTTCGTTTAAAGTTTATATCTGGATAGTGTTCGCCAAGTGTGTCCGTCATCCTAGCTATAAAAATTTGAAACTCCGCGCTAACAAACCTTTAGTAAAACAAAGCAAATCAGAGCATTCCTGCTCTAAAATTTGAAATTTACATCTTCCCAATCCAAAACCATATGTGCCCTATCAGTTAACCAACAAAGTTTACTTCACTGATAGTCGTAAAATCTGATCTCAGCCTTTGATTTACGGCATTTTGATTTTTCCAGCCGGCCACTTGTATTCCACATTTCTCTATCTCAAGAATCCACCACCTCCACGCTTGTCGCGCCTAATCCATTCAGCCAATCATATCATATCCACCTAAAACTATGAAACACCCACGCTCCACCCTTTAGCCCTTCCATATTCATATCTCCAAAAACTAACCGTCTCCTCCCATGATGCCTTTTAACTTCATCCTTAATTTCTAATGGCTGAGACTTTTTCCCACTAAGACCAATTCACCCCTTCCTCAAAGGCCATCTCTCTACCCACCCTGATAACTTCTGCCTCCGATTATCGGTATAAAAACCGCGGTAATCCGCCTCCGCGACACTACTCTGAGAGACAGAAGAACATACGAAAACGAAAAAGTCATACTTAGATTCGGACTCAGGTCTAGACTCAATTCAGATTTTGATAACCCGTGACTCAAGTGTGGCAAGTGCACAGTGTTCCACGAATACTATTCTTAGTGGGGTCTCGCCAACCTTCCAAAAACAAAAAAAGAGAAACAGCTGCCAGTTGGGAGTGGACAACCTGAAATTGGGACCCCACGCAGACTATTTCAACCACTCCTTTCCTTGCGTGAATCAGCAGTAAGTAGTTTTATTTACTATTCTACCCTCCTTACCTCCATTCTTACTAATTCCACCCTTGTGGAACTACGGTTTTAGTGGGCCATTACTATCATTCACTAGTAACCATCCATCGGGTCCTCCATCTCTTTGACGAGATAACAGACCCATACAATTTTGACCAACAATTACAGTATATCAGAAACATAATTAGCATCGGATTAGATATAGATTTCCATCCAGACCCGACAATCCTACCTCCTCTCCTATTTTCTCAATATTTATCCCCTGATACTCCTACCTCTTCTTCCCCACGTGCATCCACTTTTTCCACCCCTCTAATTGATATAAAAGGAAATCCCTTAAAATAAGAGGAAAACAATTGGAATAATATCTAATAAATTTTAAATGAATGGTTCACTTTAATCGCTTTATCGAAAGAAGAATCCTTTTCCACAATATCTTATTCTCCTGTCTCTTTTTCCGAACTGTCCACTCCTCTAAATTCGCCAAACCTCTCTCGTTCCCCCTCACTTGACTAGTTTTCCTATATTAATCTTTCTATCTTTTCCTTCCTTCTTTTACCCCGGATTACCCGCACATACACATACACATACACATACACACCATCATTTAAGCAAATTATAATAGACCGCGCTGTAATCTTATTTATTGTAATACTTCAAACCGCGCCGTATACGATTTCGTTGTCACTTATATTTTAATAAATTTGCTATTAATTTATTTCCATCAATTGATTTCAAAATCACACCCACCCTTCCAACAGTCAACTCATGGTCCTATCCCCGGTAAAAGGATTCGCGTCCCTGACCGAAAAACGGACCGCTCGTCGTACGTCGGTGCCCGAGTAAAGGGACCCGTCGGGTCCCTGACCCGTTCACTGACACGCGTGTACGAACAAGGTTCGCCTTTCCTGCGAACGAAAAGGTTGCGTTCCTCCTCTAGGACGTAACAAAGTCCATAACAAAATTGATTGGATATTTATTTATTATGATGATCTTATTTCATTCGTACTTACTTATTGTAGAACTAGAGCTAGAAGTATTATATCTATAAGTAATATATCTATACATATTATTTTTCACTATATATTATAATAATTTTCTCAAATTAACTAGTATAGCCAATAAGAATAAAGTACAGTAAGAATAAATAATAATCCTCTTTAAAAAAGATTAAATAATCTGTGTATAAGAAATTTATATTAAAATCAATAAAATTTGCATTATATATATAACATATAATTTCTCTAACTTTAAGAATGTATTTATAATACACTGCTCAAAAGAATTATGGCATAGATAATTTATTGTCGAAAATTGGCCAACTTTGACTGGCGATTACTTCGCGAAAAATTACTATAGACTAATGATTTGTTTTCTCAAAATGAAGCTTGAAGTCTACTTTAAGAATGTATCTCCATTTTTTGCATGCGATGCATCCCTACTCCTGTAACCCCTGACATCTGAGGGCATGTTTAGTATATTGAAAATTGCAAAGTTTGACGGAATGCACGAACGTGGACAATTTCTCCCCGTAAACGGGGAACGCCGTTTACATAAAGCTCAAATCTTTCTCTTCAATTTAAAAAAAAATGGAGTCTCTACAATTTTTTTTCGCAAAGTTACAGCCCTTCAAAAATAGGTTAAGAAATTTATCAAGACAACCTGTCAATTTGAATGACCTATCGCAGACCCTGGTTCAAATCTGGCATGATATTTTGCAGAAAGAAATTAGGGCCTGCATTAACATGAGGGACCGGCTGCAAGGAGTGATCCGGCAGCGTGGAGGAAACACGAGATATTGAAGATGCACCTACACGCACACATACATACACACACACACGCGCGCACTCACGTGCACAGAAGGGAGGGTTTGGAGTCAATAATTACTGTGGAAGTGACGAACCACGGAGTCCTTATCTTTTCTGTCACGGACACACACACACATGCGTGCACACTTGGCCCGAATGCCAAAAACAACGATATTTTTGAAAAGCTGTAACTGCGAAAAAAATTGTGGCGACTCCATTTTTTTTAAATTGAAGGGAAAGATTTGAGCTTTATGACGATACAAACGGCGTCTCCGAAAAAAATTGTCCGCGTCCGTGCATTCCGTCAAACTTTGCAATTTTCAGTATACCAAACATGCCCTCAGATGTCAAGGGTTACAGGGGTAGGAGTGCATCGCATGCAAAAAATGGAGATACATTCTTAAACTAGAGACTTCAAGGTTTATTTTGAAAAAAAATCATTAGTTTACAATAATTTTTCGCGAAGTAATCACCAGTCAAAGTTGGCCAATTTTCGGCAATAATTTATCTATGCCATAATTCTTTTGAACAGTGTATTTTCCTCTTAATTTTAGAGGAATTCTCTTGATTCTTATATAAGAGTAAAATCTCCTAAAATTTAAATGATTCCGCTTGTTCTGCAATTACTTTTTTTGTAGTGTTTGGTAAGAAAATATAATATTCATATTAATTAATTTATTTATTACTTTTGAAGTAACAAATTATTTATTATATTTAAAGTAAAAAATTATTTATCATATTTAAGTTACTCCTTTTTATCGTATATTACTGTAAATATATCATCGATTATGAATTGATAATATTTTATTATGGATATTGGTTGGTTAAGTGTCGAAACGCTGTTCGAAGATAATCTATGCATGGAAGTAATCGGAAAAAGCGTAAATCTTGGAAGGATTATGGATCAAAGATAAGTGGTTCAGGAGGCTAGAGTTCATCAGCGAATTTTGCACTTCGTTTTGAGAACGTTCCATTACTCAGGAGATGACAGAGGAAGCGTGACGAGAATTTTCCACATGAGACAATAAAATTTAATTCGATAATCTATCTTTCAGGCGCCTGACTCGAATAATGGTCGGTGTGAAAGATTGCACTCAATTGAAAGCGCCACTAAAAAAATGCGTAAGAACAAAATTTATCAGGTTTAGTATTTTCTTAACGAAAAGTCAACGTTAAGCCATCTTTTGTCGAGAAATATTGTATAAAATTTAGGAAAAGATTAATAGGCTAAAAATAATTAAATTAATTAAATTAAATTAAATTAACAGAAACACCGATGTCTGTTGGGATATTTTATGGAAAATAGCAGAATAGATAGAATTAAATAACAGTTTGACTTATAGCTAAAAAATTACATTTGAAAAATCAGAGCTTAATTACAAGAATATTACTGCCTGCTCAATGGAGAAATTAACAAAGTAAAGGTGGATGTACTTGAAATATCTCGTAATTTTCGCCGATATTTTTCCCGATAGAGCAGACGTATGCGACGGACTGACATTCGAGAGGATAGTGGAAAGAATCGCGTCGAACAGGATCGTGGAAACGAAAGCGGAAAAGAGAAGACGGAACATATGAACGTGCGCGCACGGGTAAGCGAAACTTTGCTAGAGCAGCGTAGAAATGAATGACGGGTGTAAAATAACGAGGTTCGTATACGTCAAAGGATCCATCGTCGTCGCACAGCAGACTGTCTCTTGCGATTTACACATTATTGCGATACGAAAGGGCCCTTTGTGAAGGAAGAAGAGCGGTGTCGGATTCGTCTGAGAAATGTTGCTCATCTCGACCGGTGAAGCTGGAGGGTCGACTCCGACACAAAGTGCATATGGACGATGAATGCTTCGTCGTCGTCATCGTCGTCGTTCTCGTCCTCGACAGATAGACGGATAGAAAAATCTCCTTCAAATATCACTATCTTCGTCGAGGTAAATACGAAACACGACGATCACTCGAGGAGAAAATTCACGCGTGAGTAATTCCTCATACCAAGAAAGATGAATTGATAGGACAGAGATCAATTCATATAACCTTAACTGATCTTTGTCATGTGAAATGTACCGAAGAGTGATAATAGGAAGAAGAAAGCATCGTGATTACGCTTTAATGCCAATTGCTATAATTTAAACTGAGAGTTTACATATATCGGATATTGAAAGAGTTGGAAATTTCAGATATAGATAAATGATGATTTATACAAACGATTTATACAATAAAAGATTTTGTTCAGTATATTGATATAAGTGTATTCCACGTTTTTTCGATCATCAAAATATATGTCGAAACAATATCAGGACTTATAGTTGTGAAGATATTTAATCAAATCAATTTAATCAAATCAATTTCTATCAAATATCAATTGTCAAAACAGCAGTTGTTGTTATTTTTATGATAAGATAAGCAAAACACATTGCTGCATGATAATAATATGGGATACAACCATGCACATTTAAAAAGCATTATGTACATATAGTTTAAAAAAAATTATAAAATCAAACGAACTCACCGAGTGAAGTTCGATTTGAATTATGCTTGTCATTTTGTCCGTATGGATAATGTAGTAGCACTTCTGTTACACGCATTTACCAACAGTTCAGAGTAGTTCCAAAGCGAGAAAACGCTATCTCCCCAGCGCCACCGGTCCCCGCGCGTTCCCGCACAAGCATAATTCAAATCGAACTTCACTCGGTGAGTTCGTTTGATTTTATAATTATGCCCTGTGGTTTTCCGTATGGATAATGTAGATGTTTAGAAAACAATTTGCGCCTTCCTAACGAAAGAAAAAACCCTTCTTCTTTGAGCACGCTGACCTTGTCTGAAGATCTATAACCTTTAAATAATGCTGAATAAATATAAATATTGCCTCCTCTTGAGAGATGGGTGAACTTATATATATTTTAGTAGCTTCTATACTAAAGAGTGTCCCAAAATTCACGCAAGAAGTAATTTTGATAGAAAACACAGATTTATAATTAAAAACTGTAAATTGTTTATTGATTCATAAAGAATACAGTATAGGGTTATGTATGGAATAGCATATCGGGTAAACGGCCACAGCGAAGAGAGTTCGTTGAATGGATTATGGAACAACAACAAGTGGATGCTGATTTTTCGAACAAAATCATCTTCAGCGATGAGGCTCATTTTCATCTTGATGGTTTGGTTAATCGACAAAATTGTCGCATTTGGGGTTCAGAAAACCCAGGAGTGATTGTTGAGAAACAAATGCATCCACAACGTGTCACTGTTTGGTGCGGATTTTGGGCTGGAGACATCATCGAACTATTCTTCTTCGAAAATGCGATTGGTCAGGCAATAACAGTTAATGGTGCTCGCTATCGCGACATGATAAACCAGTTTTGTGTGCCTAAATTGCAAGATATGGATGTGGACGACATGTGGTTTCAACAAGACGGTGCTACTTGCCATACAGCCCGAGAAACAATTCAATTACTGCATGAGTCATTTCCTGGTCGTGTAATTTCCCGTTTTGGTGATCAGATTTGGCCGCCCAGATCATGCGATTTAACGCCGTTGGACTTTTTTCTTTGGGGTTTTTTGAAGTCCAAGGTTTATGCCAACAAGCCCACGACCACCCACGCTTTGAAGGAGGAAATTATGCGCTGTATCAACGAAATTCCACATTTATGCAAAGCGGTCATAGAAAATTTCAACAAATGAGTGCATATGTGCCAACAAAATCGTGGAGGCCATTTACCCGATATGCTATTCCATACATAACCCTATACTGTAAACTTTATGAATCAATGAAAAATTTACAATTTTTAATTATAAAACTGTGTTTTCTATCAAAATTACTTCTTGCGTGAATTTTGGGACACTCTTTATATAAACCAAGAACTTAGGTTAGGAACATAAAACTGAATTACCGAACTTCTCCAGATTTATAATTGGGCGGTTATAAAAACGTGTGAAGACTTGCGACGAACCCGACCAACCTGCAGCAAGCTTTATAAAATCTAAAGTCACTCCTTTTTGGGCCGCCAACGAAGTCGAGGCATGACGCATGCTGTGTGATGTAAATAAATCAGTCCTAATTCCACAGTCGTTCAGGCTTAACCGCAACCAACGGCTGATCGTTTGTTGATCTACAGCTTTGTGAGGTCTAACGAAAGAAATGAAAAACGAGTCATCCGAAGGACATCGTATAGCCTGAGTTACACTCAAGTAGTGTTTTACTAGTCTATAGATACAGAGGTTCTCGTTACTGTAAACGGACAAGAACTAGAAAAAAGGTTGCGAACGCCCCGGAGCAGAGGTTTTTATACGATCTGGAACCCTGATAATGAGCTTATCATCTATAGACATTTGAGATATTCTTCTGAAAGATGCAAGCGTTTGTGCATGTTGGCCCGTACCGAGAGTGAGGAGTAGGACTAATTTCTTTGTAATGACTTCGAGAGGGAGTGAATCGTAGGGATATACAGGGTGTCTCAGAACTTTGGGACACGGACTCCGTAAGGACATAGAGCTAAGTAAGAAGAACAAAAAAGTTCTCTACCATAATGTGAAAATCGTAAGTTTTTTAATAATAACCGCATAAAATTTGGCGTTTTCCACGTCCATCGTGACCTATAGACGCTCCGCGGCAAGCTGTGTGCGTAGGAGCTGAGCAATAACACGTCTCGCGCTGACTGTCGCGATGGCGTCTTGGCGCTTTGACGCCGTGCGACGGTCAGCGCGAGCCGCGTTATCGCTCAGCCCCTACCAATACCGCGATTCTGTAACTCGTTATTGGAGTTAACGACACTTTCGTTATCGTTGCGCTTTTGTATACCGTAGAAAAGCTGCGCAACAATAACGAAACTATCGTTAACTCCAATAACGAGTTACAGAATCGCACCACTGAGCAGTTAAACTCCCGTGTATATTTAGCGTCTAACGTTTGAGGCGCTCTCTGAAATGGGACATTTCTTCGGTGGTACTAAAATTCAATATGGCGTTATGTGTCAATGTATGTGTATATATAGCTGTCTATACACACATATTAACACGTATGTGCGTGTAGTATATATAGAAAATATGAGGAATATTAGTGCGAAGTAAAAATGCAGAAAATAATGTGTATTCTGTGAAATGTATATATTTGACGAAAAAAATGTAAATATGTATACATAAAGAAAATATTAATACCTTAAACATAAATATAAGGACAATAATTTATTAATAATACTAAATTTTATAATAATATTAAAAGAAATTTGTAATAAAATTGTATATTATCGCTGTCCCTAAAATGGTTGTAGCATACTCATAACTTTTTCTCCTCAGATCCTTCCACTGGCTCCATTTTCAAATTCTTGAACCATTATAGCCTACGTTCAGCATTTCGTGGGAATTTATGCGATGGTGCTGTCTTCCCTGTCGAACATCCTGGTACACAATATACATCTTGATCCCGCTGTTATGAGACCTATAAAAAAAATAAACCTGTATTTAGTTAAACAGATGTTTGCATCATCAGTATACAATATTACAGTATCATGCATACTCAAATAAAACAAGTTGTTTGTCGCTAACAGGGAAAAGATTTTGGTGGTTCTTGAATAACTGTTTCTTCTTGTTTTTTCTTCTTCCCTTGTTGAAGTCTTCTTGTAGTCCTTCTGCAAGAGAGAGAGAGAGAGAGAGAGAGAGAGAGAGAGAGAGGGAGAGAGAGCGAGAGAAAGAGAGAGAGAGAGAGAGAGAGAGAGAGAGAGAGAGAGAGAGAAAGTACATAAATATCTTCATAAATTATATATATATATATAGAGTAGATTCCATGAAGAAATTTTAGCTATCTATGCCTGCATACAGCTCATGTTCAAAAAGTAACCAGCTAATATAACATGATTTGACATTACGTTCAAGGATAGTCATAACATATTCTTCTTGTTTTCAGTCATCAATCTGCTGAAATAACTCGTTCACAAGGTGTATCAAATTTTTTAGCAGCAGATTAACAGCAGAAACTAAGCACAAACTTCATGCAGGCATGCATCGCTAAGAATTTCTACAATCTTTATCAAACTTGCTCTTGCTATGTTAGCATATTGCAAAGCTTACTTTTACTTTTTGCTTATTAGTCTCTGTTAGTAAAAAGTGGACACTTATACTAATGCATAATATTTATATGTAAATACAACACAATATATAAAAACAAAACTTACACTTTGGTTGTCGTTACTGGCAGTAATACTAAAAGTTTTTCCTTCTCGCACCTGTTTCTTCTCATGTTTCTTCCTCGTAACACCTCTTCTTCGTAACACTTTCTTTTTTTCTTATTGAAGGCTTAAAGCATTAAAGCATTAAAGCGAACGCAACTGTAGCAATATGGCGGCCACAAATTAGTTCCGATTTCTCACATGTCCCATCTCAGAGAACGCTGCTAACGCTAATCATTTTCGCTCCATAAGAGTTTGCACGCCCTGGCCCCTACGCATACAGCTTGCCGCGGAGCGTCTATAGGCCGCGCTGGGCATGGAAAACGGCTAGCTTTAGGCTGTTATTACTAAAAAACTATTACGATTTTCACATTATGGTAGAGGACTTTTTTGTTCCTTTCACTTAGCTCTATGTCCCTACGGAGCACGTGTCCCAAAGTTCTGAGACACCCTGTATAGTCGCAAGTTTCACAAGTACTGGAGCTGGATCCCAGACATAGTCATAACGAGGGCGTGAAGGTTTAAGGGCTCCTGCCCCTTTACAAAAACGTTTCATGAGAACGTGATTCCCGATCTCGTTATGCGTAATAAGAGAGATAGCGCTACAGATAGTATTAATTGCCGAATATGAATTTACTCCTTCTAGTTTTTGCGCTAAGAACTCCAAGAACTGTGAAGGGCTTGATGTCAAAGGAGAGACGCTGTAGATTGACAATAGAACCACCAGTCTTTAAGTGGCTTGGAATATTGGCGAATTGTCGAATCAGCTAATGAGACTAATATAGCCTCTAGTGCCTTTGGTACATCGCGATCGAGGAAAGCTAGCCGGATAAACTCCCTGCCGCCAGAGAAAGGGTTCTCCACGCTGGGTGCCGATCCCTGAAAGGAGACGAGAGTAAATCGTGACAAGGAGGAAATATTATATGTTCCCTGGTCAACAGTTGACAAAACAAGAGAAACCAAGCCTGTGATGGTCACCAAGGTACTATAACGACTCCTTTCACTTTATCGTTCACAATTTTTCGGAGGACGCGAGGCAGCAGGATGAAGGGGGGAAAAGCAAAAAACTTCATCCCTGACCAAGAAAGGGTAAACGCGTCTACTGCTACAGAACCTGGATCTGGAAACCATGACACATATACTTTGTATTAATGGTTGATGCAAACAGGTCAATATCAATTGGACCGAACTCTACTGAGATCCTCGTAAAGGCGAATTGGGCTAAGGACCATTCTGTATCCAGACTGATCGCTCTAGATTCGCGATCAGCTACAGTGTTATCAATGGAGACAACATAAGATGCGAACAAAAAAATATCGCGATTCTCACACTATGTCCAAATCTCTTTTGCCAAAGAAGTTAAATGTAGATATTGAATGGACCCAAAGCGATTGATGTATGCAATTGCGGTAGTAGAATATTACATTTGGAAGGTTCCCCTGCGAAGTATCTCAGTACATAAAAAACAGCCTTAAATTCGAGGAAATTTATTAGGTGCGCAACTAAGTTCTCGCTGTTTTTTTGATGAAAATGCAACTTTATTGTGAAAAAATGGTTACAAATGAATCATTCAAAATATTGCCCATCGCTAGCGACAACTTTTTCCCATCTTTCTGGCAGAGCTCGAATACCGTCACGGTAGAAGTGTTCGTCTTTTGAGGCTATCCACGAATCAAGCCATTTTGACATGTCTTCATATGAGCGGAACTGCTGATTAGCCAGACCATGTGCCATCGAACGGAACAAGTAATAATCGGACGGCGCAATATCTGGGGAATATGGCGGGTGGGGTAGGACTTCCCATTTGAGCGTTTCTAAGTAGGTTTTAATGGGTTTGGCAACGTGAGGTCGAGCGTTGTCATGCTGTAAAATCACTTTTTCGTGCCTCTGCTCGTATTGTGGCCGCTTTTCGCGCAGTGCTCGGCTCAATCGCATCAATTGAGTTCGATACTGTTCCCCAGTGATGGTTTCGTTCGGTTTCAACAGCTCATAATAAATAACACCGCCCTGGTACCACCAAATACACAGCAAAACCTTCGCAGCGTGAATATTCGGCCGAGCCGACGACGTAGAAGCATGACCGGGCAATCCCCATGATTTTGTTCTCTTTGGGTTGCTGTAATGAATCCATTTTTCATCACCCGTAACGATGCAATGAAGAAAACCCTTCCTTTTTGCCGCTGGAGCAGTTATTCACAGGCGAAAAAACGACACTCAACGTCTCTTGGCTTCAAATCATAAGGAACCCAAGTTCCTTGTTTTTTAATCATTCCCAACGCATGTAATCGCTTGGAAATGGCTTGGCGGGTAACTCCTAATGCTGAAGCAAGCTCTTTTTGCGTTTGACACGGATCCTCATCGAGCAATGCCTCCAATTCAGCGTCTTCGAAGGTTTTTGGCCTTCCTTCACGCGAACGGTCGTCAACAACGAAATCACCGTCTTTGAAGCGACGGAACCAATCACGGCACGTTGTTTCACTTAGAGCAGCATCTCCGTAAACTTTTTGGAGTTCTCGATGCGCTTCAGCCGCCGTTTTCTTCGAACGAAAGAAGAAAAGCAACACTTCCCGCAAATGACGATTACTTGGCACAAAATCAGACATTTTCACACAACCAAAAGTATATGACGCAAAAACAAAATCACTAATGTGTCAAAGCGGTTTATTTACCATATGTCTAAGCTTAGTTCATGACGTTTTGGTTATGTCACAATCGACCAGCACTTACTACTGGAGCCATCTCTTGATAAACAGCGGGAACTTAGTTGCGCACCTAATATATGAGCAGATCTCTCGCTTTTCGACCACCATCCATGAATATACAGGGCCATCGAAAAGTATCGGACCCCCTTAATATCTTCAGTTAGAATGCATTTTGGAGAAAATGTCCAATAGCAAAGTTGTATGGTTTCAAGCGAGGAGTAAGATGATGACCTTGACTTTAACCTTGACCATGTCTTTCAAGGTCATTTCAAGGTCAACCTTATTTTTTTAAATGGAATTCCCAACATTTTATTGTATATTCTTATAGCTTATCTCGAGAGCTTTCCAAAACACTATAATAAAACATTTTCTCATTAAGTACTTTCTGAGTTATAAAGGTTTGAAGTTAACAATTTGTTAAGTGGTGTGTGATTCCGGCAAGTTAAGGCAAGAGTGGTGTGTGATTCCGACCAGTTAAGGCAAGAGTGGTGTGTGATTCCGACCAGTTAAGGAAAGAGTGGTGTGTGATTCCGACCAATTAAGGAAAGAGTGGTGTGTGATTCCGACTAGTTAAGACAAGAGTGGTGTGTGATTCCGGCCAGTTAAGGCAAGAGTGGTGTGTGATTCCGGCCAGTTAAGGCAAGAGTGGTGTGTGATTCCGACCAGTTAAGGCGAATTTCATTCCAATTGATCAGCTTGGGCAAAATATTCAATTGTACCAAACAATTCATAACAAATGTTCAAATTGTTGCCCTTCAACAGCCTGGCAATTTGCCAATCTGCTATAAACAGCTGAAACCGCATTCCAGAACGTTTCCGGAGGTATTAGTTCTATCTCTCGAGTTATTCTCCCTCTTAAATCATCTAAATCTTGAGGCTTGGTGGCATAAACTTTACTTTTCAAGTAACCCCACAAAAGAAAGTCAAGTGGAGTCAAGTCCGGAGACCGAGGTGGCCACTCAATATGACCCCTTCGCCCTATGCACCTGTCCTGAAAGACCTCATTCAAATATTGACGGACAATGACACCGTAATGAGGTGGAGCTCCATCCTATTGGATATAAATTTTATCCATATTTCCACCAGCTATGTCTCGAATAGCTAGAACAATTTGTTCGCGAAGCATGACTGTGTATACTTGTGCTGTCAAATTGCCTTCAATGAAGAAAGGGCCAATTGGTCTACCATTAAGAATACCAGCCCATACGTTAACTTTTTGTGGATATTGGGTATGATTGTCTCTTTTCCAGTGAGGATTAACATCACTCCAGTATCTACAATTATGTCTATTTACATTTCCAGTCAGTTCAAATGTTGCCTCATCAGAGAAAACAATATTATTAAGTAATAGAGGATCGTCGACAATCATCTCCATCATAAGATCACAAAATTCGATGTGTCTATCAAAATCGTCTTCGGACAACTCTTGGACCAAAGGGAGTTTGTATGGATGCCACTTACTCAATTTCGGAATTTTACTGACAGATGCATGACCGATTTCGTGTTCTTGTGCAACGCGATTGATGGAAATGTGGGGACTTTCAACGAAAGACTGTAAAACATCTAATGCCTTATCATTATTTGTTGCTGTTTTACGTCTATCAGATCATGGGCGGCTTTTAACGCTACCAATGTCCTCGAAACATTGAATAGTATGGATTATAGTACTTTTGGAGATCCTATTATTTTCATTCTGAACATTTTCATTAAATAATCGCGTTTAATACTGCTTTATAATACTGTTTTATACCCTCTTTGTTGATCTCCCCATCCTCGCATCATTAACAGTGTTATTCGATCTCTTTCAGAAAGCTCCGCCATTCTTAATTAGAGCAAAGAAGAATTAATCTGGTAAGTGATAGGAAATTGATCTAAATAATTAAGTAGAGAAAAATACTAATTATTAAGTGTTGGTACAACTTTCGATTTGTTTATTTCAAACAGCACTAGCAAAAAGCTCGTTGAGCAACTGAAAATCTAATAGATCAATTAATAATATTTACGAAAAAAGTCTAGGCTATTGGAAACAAAATGAAGATGTTTGGGACAATCAATTGAAGCGCAATGACTTCTTTTGTTACAGAAATAATTTTTGGGACTGTTCGTTTTCGTCCACGAGGTGACTGCTGCTCGCTAAGAAGAAGACAGCACTGCATCAAAGATTCAAATCAGTGATCCGCATTGTTTGCTCAAGAGCTTGTATTACTATTGGTGCCTGCGAGAGTGAAACAATAAAGATCGGCCCCGCCAACGCTTTCGGGTAGTTTCTCGCAATCATCTTCGGGCAGTTTTCCGCCATAGCCTACTAGCATAACCGCTTGAAGCCGTACAACTTTGCTATTGGACATTTTTCCAAAATGCATTCTT